TTTTGTACAATGTATGGGTCTTATTTACGATATTACTTCATTAAAGATTTTGTCATTTTTCCATTTTATTCAGGAAAACCCAGTAAATGCCAGCGTTTCCATCCCAAGATGCAAATTCATTATTGACTCGCAAAAAACAAATGTACGCGGATTTGAAATTAAACACGTATGAGCTATTTTAATATCTAAAGTTCTAAATCTGTGGTTTTGCATACTCATACTGTAACTGAGAAAAAAAATTGGGACAGTTCGATATCTCCCATTCTACTTGGCCAGTTGACCAAATTCAAATTGCGCTTTTCATGTCTCGAAAGCGCGACTAAGGACATAAATTAGATTTATATATAGCATCATTCTAGAATAGGTATTGTGACACAAAATTGGACTTTTTCTATATAGCATACCAATTTTTTCCATATTTCAATTCTACGGCTCAAATTATGCCTAGATATTAAATTTTATAATTTTTGGTGAGAAATTTATGTAGAAATTTTAAAAAAAAATTATCTTGGCGAATTTTTTTCAGTTTGCTCCAAGAATGATTCACTTGGCGAACTTCTTAATTTGCAGCAATCTATTTCCTTTTGCCTTTTTTCTTTGTGCACGAGTCGGAAAAAATTCATAATTCATACTTTCGAATAATTTTAACAAAGTGCGTACACCTCATTTTCGTTATTATCGCTTATAGTAAATACACCAAATTTCAAAACGCGCCAAAATGTAAATTCTCCTATATCTTAGGAATTTTTGAATAAAAAAACTCTAATTTTTTTGCGGTTACAGCCGAAAACATCGCGGCAAAAACATCGCGAACGAAAACGTCGCGGAGAAAACAACGCAAGGCAAAAACGTCGTGCTACAAAACATCGTGGGAGAAAACATCGCAAAGAGAAAACATCGCAGTTCTAAAACATCGTGGTACAGAACATCGTCGTCGAAAATAAAGCGGTTCAAAAATTTCTCAGTTTAAAAACATTGTCGTCGAAAATATCGTGGTAAAAAATAAAGTATCTACAAATCATCGCCTGACGATAACATCGCAGACATGCTTTATTCAGGCTTTAATAACTGTAAATGGATATTCCCGTAATGATTTGTGAGCGTAAGATGGAAAGAAGGATAATTTTTACTTTCATACTATTTATTAATTAATAAATTTTTGCTGATAAAATAAGAAGGAAACTTAAGCATAGAAAATTAATGCAACTCATAGCACTTAATAGAATTTTAAACTTTAAACCGACATAGTTAACTAAAAAAGGCCATTAATAAATCATTTTTAATAAAGATTTTACTGGTAATTTTTCATGAAAAGTATAATCTATAAGTTGCATTTAATTTTCTATGCTTAAGTTTCCTTCTTACTTTTTCAGCAAAAATTTATTATTTAATAAAAAATGTAAAAGTAAAAATTATCCTTCTTTACATCTTGCGCTCACAAATCATTATGGGAATATCCATTTACAGTTATTAAAACCTGAAAAAAGCATGTCTGCGATGTTATCGTCATGCGATGATTTGTAGATACTTTATTTTTACCACGATATTTTCGACGACGATGTTTTTAAACTGCGAAGTTTTTGAACCGCATTATTTTCGACGACGATGTTTTAGAACTGCGATGTTTTCTCTTTGCGATGTTTTCTCCCACGATGTTTTCTCCCACGATGTTTTGTAGCACGACGCTTTCTCCTTGCGTTGTTTACTCCGCGACGTTTTCGTTCACGATATTTTTGCCGCGATGTTATCGGCGGACACCTTTTTTGCAGGTATCATTAGAAATACATCTACTTTAAGGTGATGACAAAAATTTTATAGGTTATAATTCGAAATTCTTTCCGAAAAATTTATAAAAATTATTTAAAAATACAAATGTATTCAAATAAATTATGAAAGATTGACGAATTTTATTTGGAATGAACCTAAATTTCGAAATATGAAAAGAAGAATAAAAAAGTTCAGAAAAAAAAGAGATATTAATAACTATATATCAAATTCAATCAACATTGAGGAGCTAAAATTTTGACAGCTAATTTTTTAAAAACTACTCGTGTGATTTTTACAAAATTTCGCAGTTTGGTATAATTTGAGTCGTAGAATTGAAATATGGAAAAAATTTGCCATGCCATTCCTGAAAAAGTCCGATTTTGTTTCATAGAAAGTATATAAATATGCTATATATATTTGTATATAAATATGCTATATAAATTAGAAAAAATCTATATATAAACCTAATATATATCCTAAGTCGCGCTTTCGAGACTTGAAAAATGCAATTTGAATTTCGTCATTCGGTCCAGTAAAGCGGGAGATATAGATCTGTCTTCTCCTCCCTCCCGCAGTGTACAAATGCAAAAATTTGGATCAACTGACGTGGGAGATATAAGAAAATACTATGCGGCAGCTTTTGGCGTAAATTGTGTCGTGTCGTTTAGTTAAATTTACTCGTTATTTTACGTATATTAGGATATTTTGGGATTTTGTTTAAATTTTTTTAAAAAAATCTTAAAATGTTTGTGTATGAAAGCACACATATTGGTAGCTTCTATTTTTGACAAAGTGCTACATTTTATCATAATTTGATATCTTGCTTTGTGAAGGCAATGTTCCAGATGTTAATTAAATTAATTTTTCATAATTCACCACTGTATATGACCGATGGATAAACCGGACATTCACTGCAAAAAATGTATAATATATACAGGGTGATTATAATTAAAGTTTAAGTTTCAAAACGCTATAAAAAAAGAACCACTCATGGAAATGACGTCAAATTTGAAAGGAATGTTATTGAAGAAGGCGGAAAGCGTATGGCAGAAGAAAAAATGTAGTTTCAAAAGTTAGCAACAGATGGCACTGCAAGCGTAAGCGGAAGATGTAAATTAAAATGTTAGTTAAATTTCAGTGTTATAAAACCGCCAGCAGGTCCAAGGCTGTTCCTCATTTCGCGTCTCAGGACGTTCGCCATGGGTGTTTTACTTCACTGCAGGATCGCGTGCTCTACTAATAAAGCTGTATTACAAGAGTGATGATTGATGCAAGAGTAGCTCTGCAAAAATTCAGGACACTGAAGGGTATAAAAGAAGGCGTTGGTCCAATGAGTGTCGTGAGATCTAAAGAAAATGATGCAAAAATTCGAAAACGACAGGTTCGTTTGATGTGCAATCTGGTAGAGGGAGAAAACGAGTGCATTCGACACGGTAGTTGAAGAAGTGGCCACAGCATTACAGGAGGGGTCGGCCGGTCAGTGTGCAACCGTGCAGTGCACGAGGAATTGCCTGAACATTGGACAGGCCTACGAGCGCGGTGCTGAAAATTGTACGAAACATCCTGCAATGCTATCCGTACAAAATTGGCCATGTGCAGGAGTTGCTTCCGTCTGACCTTGGCACAGCTAAGGGAGACGTTTGCGTTAGAATTCCTGGCTCGCATGGAAGTGGATAATGAATGGCCGTGGAAAATTGTTGTGGACAGATGAAAGTCCCATTTCCATCTGATAGGGCATACGTGAATACCCAGAATTGTCGAATATGGGCAACAGAAAATCCACTGGCAACGCACCCCGTACCACTTCATCCTGAAAAGGTCACGGTGTGGTGCGGCTTTACGGCATCATTCATCCTACAGCCATATTTTTTCGAGCAGACGGGTGCTTCCGGTCCTGTTATCCGCAACCGTCACTGGTCAGAGGTATGCATCGATTTTTGCGCAACCACGTGATTCCAGCTCTGCAACAGCGTAGGACGTGTGGATGAAACCAATTTTTATGCAAGATGGCGCTTCCTCCGCAACATTGCACATCCCGTGAAGCAGCTGCTGAGGTGCGCCATTTCGGAAATGCTCGAATTATCAGCCGTCATTTCCCTACAGCCTGGCCGTCCCGATCGCCTGATCTTACTCCGTGTGATTTCTGGCTGAGGGGATATCTGAAGGATGTTGTGTTTTCCGTGCTCCAACTGCAAATTTAGCGGAATTAAAGGCACGCATTTCGCAACACATTCTGAACATCACCCCGGAGACACTGCGATCCGTTGTGGAACATGCTGTTTGTCGCTTTCAAACTTGTTGCACACAACGGTGGACACCATATTGAACATGTTTTTGCGCCAGTCTCGCGACAGTTCCGAACTGCTTTGATGAATGGCTCTTATGTGGTATGTCGCCGCAAAACTCTTGAAACCGATTTGTCCCTTTCGATGTGATATGTACAGTCATGCAAATAAAATTATTCAACAATTCTAATTTGTCAATGCGTTTTAATGTGTAACTTCCACCTTAACCCCCGTTGTTTTACGAATCATTTCTCATTTCTCGTCGTGATTCTCCCCGCTTACAGCGCCATCTGTTGCTAACTTTTGAAACTAAATTTTTTCTTCTGCCATACGCTTTCCGCCTTCTTCAGATAACATTCCTTTCAAATTTCACATCATTTTTCCATCAGTGGTTCTTTTTTTATAGCGTTTTGAAACTTAAAAACTTTAATTATAATCACCCTGTATATATATATATATATATATATATATATATATATATATAAATGATTAATTTGGGTCTTCGAAGAAAGTGGAAAAAATGCTGCGATGAAAACGCGTTATTATAACTTTAAACTATGAAGAAAACTATGACCTCGAAACGTGTACTGCAAAGTAACTCAATTGTGCGCAGGTGGTATGCCTGCTGAATATATATATATATGTATGTATTTGTCTTTTATAAAACCAACTGTAGTTGAACAATGTTCAATTGTTGAATAACATATGAAAAGGTATGCCATTTAGCAACTGGAGAACTGTCATAAAAATCTGCCAATGAAAATCCATCTGACAGATACATTCGTAGTCTAAATACACAATACCTAAAGTAAATGCGCCTTTATTTCTATAACTATTGAATGCAAATTTTACTCCGCCCATCTCACAGTCTCGTTTGAATTTGGTATAAAAGCAGAAGACAGTTTTCCAGGGTATACTAGAGAGGCATTTTGAAATATTATGTTTAAAATGGACCGTGTCATGGACCTGTTTTGCCGGCTGTTGCTGGCTACTTGTAAGTTTTGTATAAAAATAATGATACTAGCCACAAAGGCAATATTAAATTTGCACGAAATTTCTTTAACTACACATGCAGTTGATCTGGTCTATAGTATAAAGTCATCACTAAGCTCCCCTTTCTTATTTTTGTTTTTGAATTATTGATTAGAAATTGAAAAAGAAGAAAATATTATGAGATATATTTGATAATGTGAGAAATTTTAATACTTTATATGAATTTAAATTTGCTCTTTATACTAGTAAATAGTTGAAAGAAGTTTTGGAAATTTGCTAGAGTTAAGGAATAGGTTGCAATATTTTCTTTTCAAATCCAGTAGTTTTACATATTTCTTTTAAAATTTGGTGTCGGAAAAGTAATGTTTATTAGTTTTCCCACTCCTGAAAGGGTAACATTCCTTTGTTTATTGGAAATCCTAGTTAAAATAACTAAAAAGTCATTTTTAGTTATTTTAATTGGGACTTCCATTTAAGTTATTGTTGTTATTAAGTCCATTATTGTTGTTATAATCCCATTATTGTTGTTATTAATTAGGCTATACTTAATACTGAATTAAAATATATATTCTATATAATCTAGTGGCGACTGAGACGCTACACTGAAAATTAATTATATACCTTTAACTAGGGTTAAAGGTATATAATTAATTTTCAGTGTATTTTTATAATTAATTTTCAGTGTATTTTCAGCGTCTCAGTCGCCGCTAGATTATATAGAATATATACTTTAATTCAGTATTAAGTGTAGGTTAAATTAATAACAATAAAAATGGAAATATATATAAACTGCATCAGTTATATACAGTTATACATATTATGAGTAACATAAGAGATATGAAAAATGAAACTGAAGGTATAATATATAATAAATTATATTAAAGGCTAATACGCCTATTAAAGTTTTTATTATTTTTAAATAAATTAAGAGAATAAAAGAATTATAATTTGAAGTTAAAATAAATTCCCAATTTACAAATTCGTAATTTTAAAGTAATATTAAATATATATTAATACTATATATAAAACTTATGCTAAAATGGACTTTTAAATCCAAAATATAGCGCTCATGCAGCAAAGGTCAATTAAATTGATCAACTAGACAGCTTATATTCCCGGACAAAGTTGAGTAAAATCTTATTGTAATTTGAAAACTATAGTAACTCATGAAAAGTTGTGTTTCAGTTAAAGGTATATAATAAAAATAAATTAAAGGAAATAAATTATTTCAAATTACAGGAATGATTTACTTTACATTTTCTGAGAAAATAGTCTGTCTAGTTAAAATAATAAATAAATAAACAAATAAAAGGCTAAAAATAGTTCAGATTTTAACGGTCACCCAAAAGGGTTTGTTAAGCGTTCTTAGGTTCTCACTGAGCTTGCGATCTACCAGTCTGCTATTACACTCTCTGGCACAGTTTAATAATTTTTTGTACATGAGACTTTCTTTCGCCAAAGTATTTTCTTGCAAACGTGGAAATTACCTACATTTAGCTTTCATTCTGTAATATTTTTGAGAGATGATCAATTTAAATTTCCATAAATGTTTAATTTCGTTCTTTGCTTCCCAAACATGAAACGCAATATGCTTAGAAATGCATAAATTCTCTCATAAAGCACTTTTGGGGGATATCTGACTAATTCCCTAATACATATATATCTATCTCACAATTTTTTTATTAAAGTATTTCTGAAGAGTACACGAGAGGCAGAGCGGTAAAAAGCCTCTGAATACTGGTAGTTCGGTTCGGGGTTAGAGTCCTGGCAAACGCGCTGGCTGCATGGGCGTTTTCGTCATTTTTCTCCCATGCGTAACGTGGACTCGAGTCAGTTTCCTTTAAACAGTCAGTCAGTTCTCAAGTCAGTTCCTCCACGGGGCATCCTTCCTCTTCCGTGTAATGCCTAAGGGGCGGAGCACGTAATAAGTAAAAAAAAAGTTTTAAAAGAAATATTTCTGAATTCACAAAATTATCTCCATGACGTCATGAAAAAGGATAAACAAAATTCACCTTGAATTGAATTAAGAAAATCAGTATTATTTTCTGGGGCTATTTTCACAGTCTGGGACATACATCTTATCACTTGAGGCTTTGAATAAAAAATTACGCAAAATTAAATGTTAAAATGTACCTAGTAATATCCTTCTTAATACTTCTATTTATCATCTGCAATAATACATCTGTTTGAAATGGTAATTTAAAATAATTAACTGTTTCAGAAAATTCGTAATTCAAGAAAATTTGCGAATCCTAGACGCCATCGATTTCTAAGACACATCCTGCTTTTAGAGATGTTTGTATGAAGCAAATTGCGTATCTTAGAAATAAATGAAGAAATGCAATATGTATGCTGCTCTTCAATATGCTGTTTCATTTCTGGGATTCCAGAGATGCTGCATGGCCAATTAACGGATAATAAGCTTACAGACTCATAACCGCTGCTTTATATTGTTACGAAATGTCCAGTTGTGGTAAGATATCTTCTCCGTGAAGCGGGTTTAGGGTTTCCAGAAAGTGTCAAGGAACACAGGGTTGCTGGATTTGGCGCGAAATCGCCCGTTTTGCAACAAAATTAGCGATATGCCCTAGATAGAGCCAGAATATTCTAGAACGAATTCTTACCGGTTTTCGCCAGAATATTCTCGAAGGAAGGTTAAAAGCTATGTAAATCCTGCTATTACTAGTCTTTTTCAACATTACTAATGGCTATCAAAGCGGTGCTTTATGTCAGGTAGTTTTGAAATAGGAAACTATCTCAACTTTTCTCTTCAAGGAAAAAAATATTTTACATTTACTCTGAACGATAAAATTGAAGGTTTTATTAAAAAGAGTAATACTTTGGAAAATAGGGCGGAAAATGATTCTTTCGAAATATTTTCGACTTTCCATAATATGACTGAAAATATATTTGCAAAGATTAATTCCAAAAATTATTATAAAACACATAAATCCTTAGAAACACAAATTTCCAATTACTTTATATCGAATTTTGATTTCAAATGCTATCTTGGATTAAAAAATCATATTTATTGACATACATGAGATCAACTACCTGCTATATTAAAGTCCTAACGGAATTTCAGCTTTAACGCTTATTAAATCCAAATACTGTTCAATGCTGAGAAACGTTGTAGATACTTTAAGTGCAACAATGCCTAATATCGCACCAATATTGAATTTGCTATGCAGCAAGCACAGTTGTCTCATTAAAATGTGATTTTCTTTTATTAATTTTTGTACACTTGAAATAAACACTAAAACTACTACTTTTCATACTTAAATTGTTTATTAAGGAAATACGTTTTTTATTGGAAGATATTAATTTTTAAATCTTTTTTTTTTAATATTTAACACCTAATATCTCCACAATAGAAAATAGTTATGAATTTAAAACGTTTAACAAGCGCTGCTTTGTTGCAGTATGCTTTGAGAACAGATGTAATTCTAGCCTAGTTCCCAAATAATTTCATTTTTTGCTTTCATAAAGGTTTAGAATTTTTTTAATGTTTTAGCCACTAATGAGCTTTAGAAAACACTATAAACATGTCACAAGGTACTTGGATAGTAGTGTTATCTAAAAAGAACACTGTAATTTGATAACAATGTTAAGTAACACCAAAACTGTATTTCGATATCAGTGTTATGTAACAAGAAAAAATTTTATTCCGACACTAGTGTTGTGTACCAACAACACTTTATTTTGATATCAGTGTTATTTAAAAAAAAAACACTGTATTTTGATACCAGTATTGTGTAACAATAACAATGTATTCTTATATGTGTTATGTAACAAGAACACAGTATTTTGATATCAGTGTTGCGTAACAATACTGTATTTTGATAGTGTTATGTAACAAGAACACTACATTTTGATATCAGTGTTGTGTAGCAAACAATACTGTATTTTGATATCAGTGTTGTACTTTTCATCTGCCTGAACTTGGAATTAAAAGGCCGGAGGCATCAATTCCTCCAAATTTCATAGTCGTGTTACCTGCAATCACGTTTTTGAACTTAGCAGTGTGTGGCAATGTTAAAAATGTGAACGTCTCTTACCTACTTCATTAAGAGATGCTGAAATGAGACTGTTTGCTAAAGTGCCTAAGCTGGTAAAGCCTGAAATAAGGTAAAACGTATACTTATTCACGATATTAAACGTTACTATAATCCTTTAAAAATGTATTATTAAAAGTGCTATAAATCTTTGGCAATAAATCTTACAAATGCTATAAATCGTACCCAGAAATGGGCTGTAAGTCTTATACAGTATCTGAGCGAAACTCACAAAGTTAAAATGTGACAATATTTAAACAAAAAGCTAAAATCAATTACAATGAATTCGTTCCATATTTTTTTTAAAAAAATAAACACTCTCTATGTGATTTTTACCCCGCTTCGTTTTATGCGTCCGAACACTTCTGAATCTTGGGGAATGATTTGAAATAAAGATGAGGTTACCTGATGTAAAGTACTACAAAAAGCTGTTTAGTCCAGTTTTTGATCAATATTAAAATTTTGAGAACATTTTGCACTCAGATACATTTCAGCATAGAATGGTTATAAATGCCATAGAATGATTTCAATTTATATGTAAATATTAATAAAAAGGAAATGAAACTGCTTAGATATTATTTTTCATAGTCATAATGGTCAACTTTATGAAAGCTTTAGATAAACAAAAAAACTACCCGGTGACAAAGTGGGCTAGCGCCTCGCGCAGCTCCACAGGTCCGGATTTCGATTCCCGGGCTCGGCAAGGTTGACTCAGCCTTTCATCCCTTGAATGGGTCAATAAAATGAGCACCAAGTTCGCTTAGGGACTAAACACCGGCTGTCTCCTCCGTAGTTCGTAATCGTAAATACTATTTCTCCCCTATGTTTAATACATAATACGATTTTCTATTCCTTTAAGAAATTTTATTTCATAAAAGCATTGGGAGAAATTAAAAATTTTAATGCAGATATATTTCTTTAAGTTTGATAATAAATTTTATTATTGGAGAAGATTTCTTTCTGAAGATCTGCAACTTTTCGTCAAAAAGCACGAATTATATCTTTTGGACTCAGCGTGCTCGCTCGTGTAACTCATGTGAACTCGCGTGTTCCCGCGTTAAAATTGTTTTTTTTTTTTTTTCAGTTCGTTGAAGCTTTCAGAATATAGAGAGAGTATTATTTATTTCAGTGCCGTATTTCAGTTAATAAAAAATGCTTGAGTAGTTGTAAGACAGCTTAAGAGTTTGCTAATTATCATAAATCCTATAATTACTGAAAGGAAGTTAGCTGGAAGAGTTTCCTCAATATGGGAACAAATATAAAAGAGCTGATAGAATTTCTTCGCGTACTACAAAGGTATAAAAATCACAAATATATCGTTCTTTGCAAATATTACACTAACTCGCTCGTATTGATGCAAACGCCTTATCATGTAGTTTTTAATTCTCAGGCGCAAAATGTTTTCTTTCAGATCCCACTTTAGACGTACCAGCGGTCACAAATGTCTCGGACCTCTGCATGAGACCCATATGCGACAAAAGAGGTGATATTATGATTTTTTTTAATCAATCGTTCTACATGTGCTACGTAATAAGAGTTCTTGGTTAGTTCTGGATACAAAAATTAGTTTTGCTTTATAATCTGCTATATTTATGATATCTCAGATCAACCTTGAATTTACAAAACAGACATCTACGAACGTCTTTTAATTTCATTACAGTATTGCAGCATGAGAAATCTCTGGAGTCCAACCTCAAATTTACAAAATAATGTTTAAAAAAAAAAAAAAAATCTGGAAGGCTTCAGATTTTAAATTGCGTTCAAAGGGGCGTTTTTTTTAACGTTTTGTGTGCTACCTTTATGCATTAAATATTATGTTCTTCGCACTTAAACCATAAAATTCACTTCAACAGCAATGTCGCAAAATAATTTTAAAATGAGCCTATCTTTAGAATTTCCGATACACGTTTCCGCGCGCTGGAAATTAAAAAGGTTCTTCAACCCCCCCCCCCTCCGTAGATTGTTGCCATTGCTCGCTTTCAAATCGTTGAGTTGTTATTTAAAAATTCGTTTTACAAAAAAAAAAAAAAAAGTTTTACAAAATATGAAATCGATGATAAAACAAATTCCAAATTTCAAATTTGGGCTTCCACATGCCCATATTCGCAACAGGATTACGTCATTCAACATTCGATGGCTCTATGTACCGTTGTTTTATCACAATGCCAGAAATATACATACGTTTATGCAGATTTTTCATTTTTAATTTCTTCAAATATAATGCAGGACTCTAACATTGGGTGGCAACAGTTTGAAAAGTGAAACGGACATTTATAGTGATTCAACGCAAAATCGCAAAACGAAAACAATGAATTCTTCAGGGACAAAGTCCCTTTGGACTAAAAAATTAGAGTTACCACTGTCTGCTAAAGTAGTAAAAGACAGAAAAGCCAAAATATCTTAGAATACAACCAGTCAGCAAATCGAAGATCTTAGTTAGAAGTAGTGTTTTAGGGACAAAGCCCTTCTGGACTAATAATGATAATAATAGTAATAATAACTAAAAAAAACTGAAAGCATTCAGATTTTAACGATTGCCTAAAAAGGATTTGTTAAGGTTTTTTCCTCTCTCATTCAGCTCGCAGTCTACTAGTCTGCTGTTGCCCTCACTCCTGTTAACCAATTTCGTTTTATCTTTTTAGCTTTACCATTAAATACCATTTTCTTCACACTTGCGCCATATACATATCAACAGCAATATAACAAAAATGTTAAAAATAGCGTATCACCATATGTTTAATATTCCCGATAGTGTTATGCGCTAGGCATACATTTTTCCTATTTTTTTCAGTCTTTTCTTAGTTCATCAGATCAATGTTCAGTTTTCTTAGTATGACGTGTTGCAAAATTGTTTTCTGTCTTTTTAATATTAGCGTTTTGTGTGTTGACTTTATATATTAAATATCACGACTTTTGCACTTACCCTATATAAAATTTGATTCAACAGCAAAGTAACAAATATTTAAAAACAGCATATCTTTAGAATTTCCGATAAACAGTATCGAGTGCTGGCGATGAAAATGACTTTTTGCGCACAATGATGCCACTATTCGCTTTCAAATCGTTAAGTTTTTTAATCCAAAAATTAAAAGTTTTACAAAATATAAAATATGAAATTCGAAATTTAAAATTCAGGCTTCCAGGTGCACATGTTCGGGTGGAAGACCACGTTATTCAAAATTTTATGGCTCTATGAACTTTTGTTTTTCACAGTGCGAGGATCACAATCTGTATATACATACAATCATGCAGATTCTTCATTATATAATATCTTTAAAATAATACATGGCGATAATATTTGGTGGCAACAATCTGAGTAATACAGCTGTTTACAGAGACTAGGCAAAATATCGTTTCGAGACTAATAAGCCATTTGCGCAAACGCCCTTTTCGGCTAACGATGATGGTGATAATAAAAATGAAAACATTAAACTATATATTACTTGTTCTTGTTCCTTGTAAATAATGCTTATATGAAAAAGCAATACTTCTAAAACTATACAAAATACATGAATCTTTTTTAAAAAACTTTAAAATATAAAAATAGCATGTTTTGTTAAAAATAGCATTAATGTTTTGTGTGTTACCTTTATTTATTAAATATCACGTTCTTCGCACATAAATTCAATGCAACAGCAATATCACAGCAGCAAATAATATTAATTTAAAAACAGCATATCTTTAGAATTTCCGATACACAGTCTCGCGCGCTGGAGATAAAAAAAATATTTCTTTCTTTCGTACTGTGTTTCCACTGCTCGCTTTGAAATCGTTGAGTTTGTTAATTAGAATTTCGTTAACATTTTGCAAAATATGAAATAGACAATAAAGAAAATTCCAAATTCGGTATTCCAGTTGCGCAAATTCAGATGAAGGACTATTCCAAATTATTCAAAATTTACGTTTTTCAAAATTTGATTGCTCTAAGTACCGTTGTTTAACAGTGCGAGAAACATATATACATACATTCATGCAGATTCTTCGTTATTTAATTTCTTTAAATAAAATACAGGGTGATAATATTTGGTGGCGACAATTTGAAAAGTTATATGTACATTTTTAGTGAGCCAACCCAAAATGCCGATTCTGACAGCCCTTCTGAATTGATATTCATTGTTTAGATATATTCTCTCTAAATTCCGTAGCTTTAAAAAGTATTCCCGGGAAAAGGAAACTTATATCTCCCAACTCTAATTTATTATACTGAATATAAAAACCTCGTCGTGTTATATGCTTACCAGATAAGAGCTTACTTTTCATATAAGTTTCAAAAGTTTCCATTCGTTTTTGAGCTATTAATTTTTTGTTCAGTTTTGCTTCCAAATATTAATTTCAAAATTATTCATTTCTTAATGTACAGAGGACGATTACATAGTTTTAGGACCATTTAGGACCATTCAATTAAAGCTTAGTTAGATCTGAATCTATTGGTTCAAATGCCATTTTTCTGAACTATAAATCTGCATCGTGATTTCCATGATAAAAGGACTTTTCATAAAATTTTCAGGGCTATCGATTTCCATTCCTGTCCCACTACTTTTCAGAGTTCCTCAATCATGGAGAATTTGCGTTTAGAGAAAGCCTTTTCAAGAACCCGTGTCTACAGTAGTCCATAGTTGTAACGTCACAAAACTTTGTAAGAATAAGTTCAAAAGACATACATGCGATACATATGTCACTCTCCATTTTGTCAAGGAATGCCTTGATACTTTTGAAATATGACTTGTTGCTTTGTCTTCATGAAGTTTTACTCTTTGAAAGTCAGGACAGCCGCAGTGCACTACACCGTCTTAGTGGCTGGTCGTCCGCATGGAATGAAACCAGCATATGTATTGTGCTCAAATTGAGGAAGATCTCTCAGACCCACGACGTCCACGTCTAGTTGATCCAATCACATGTTAATATTAGTGGTAATGAGGTCGCTGATAAAATGGCAAACGAGGGTAGTGAAAATGAAACGGTCAATTACCAAGAACTTTACTCTTAATGAAAGATCCAAACTTAACATAATATGGCGTATTCTGCCGAAGCACCAATGGTACACAGGAACCTCCCCTGGCTCCCTACTGGAAATCAAATGTGACCGTGGCTCCCAGACTGCTCTGGCTAGATTAGCAAGTGGCCATCTTAAATGTCTTGTCTTTGATAGTGGCACAAAAGTCAATCCCGATTGTAGAAAATGCTGTGACCATCCAGCTTCACCGCATCACATACTGGGTTGCATCGGACTTTCCAAGGAGGACTTAACATCCGATCCCCTCACTGCCTGTGATTTTTTGATGGTCAACAACCTTCTGGAGCTGATCTAACATATGTCAGATCTCTCGAGGATAAGCAACAACAATAACGGAAAAGCACTAAAACCATATAATGTTATCTTGAGTATATTTCAAATGCAAATTGATCTTGTACTGATTTTCATTCCATTTAGGTTGAAACTCCAAAACAAAATTTTATGTTTGGTCACTAATAATGTATTAAGAAGAATTATTTTTGTTGTCAACCTTGCAGCTGTTTTCTTGAAAATTACTAATGGTTCTCCGTAAAAAATCTAAAGCAATTTTGCACAACAAATAGTTTTTCCCGCAGGATTTTAATTTTGTTTACAAGACAAGTTTAAACGCCTACCCCGTTGACACATGGAAACTTTCTTTAGTGTTGATTATTATAAAATTCTGTTTACTTTGTAAAATTTTCAAATTGTTGCGTTTATATATCTAGGACCAATATTTATAGAAGTAAAGCTTGTTCTCACATTTCGCCAATATAATTTATATTGTCATTAAAGCAAGTATATATTAATTGCATTATCTTCCAGTAAAGAGTATAATGTTGTTTTTTTTTTTAATGTGAACCAGGTGTGCCACGTGGCTCAAATTACCTAGCGGTGCCACTCAACGTTTCTTCAATCTCGGAACTCCACTCGATGCCCGGATGTGTAGAAAAAGGTGACATTCAGTTTATTTTATTACTTGCTTTAATACCGAGACAAAATACAGGTGTCCATGATTTATTCACGGGATAAAGGTATGTTTTAAATAATTCAATGTGAGCACCATTAGTTGCTTGGAGAATATCGACTCTATTTCTTTCCAGGTGTTATTAATCATTTGTTGAGCTATAGTAGCTGCTTCTGTGGTGACTCAATTTTTTAATTCTGCAGTGTTGCAAAACACGATTATTCAGATATACCCAGGAAAAAAAGTTGAGAGATGTGACTTCAGGAAAATGGGGGGGGGCACCATGAAATTGATCCACCTCTACCATGTCATCAAGGAAGTCACACACGTGTCTAGGCCAATAACAGGGGCCCCATCCTGTTGGAAAAATGTTCGGTACCGAAATCAATCTCAGTATATCGGTGTTAAACGTCTGAATTAATTGATGATTCTCAGAAAAAGAAGGAGCTAGTCATTTTGTTATGAGTTAGTGCGCATTAGACTTTAGCGTCCCCTCGCTTAATTTCCCTTACACAGTTCGGCTTTTCTGATCCCCAAATACCGCAGCTATCTTTCCTGAAAAAATAAATGCTGCTTGGTCACTGAATATGATTCTCTGAAGAAACCGGTCATCATTTCTGAACGTCTACAGAAAATTCCTTACGAGCGGCTGGATCATTAGGTATGATTTGTCGGAAAATCTACTGATTATACGCAGTGAGTTTAAGCTGTTTGTAAACAACTTTATGAACTCTCGACGTGGAAATTCCTGTTTGCGAGATGGCATTATGACTAGATTTCCTGGGACTGTACACAAACGCATCTCGAATAGCAGAAACATTTTCATCGGAGAAGCTTGGCCTACCAGCACCTTCTGTATGCGAAACATGTTCCGTCTGTCGAAACTGTTTTAACCATTTTTTTAATTATTTTTTCGTTGTTGAAGGTTTATTAAAGTCTTTTCCGAGTCGCCTTTGAACAGTTTTCGAAAATTTCGTTTCCCATAACCAGAAAATACACATTGCGTTTTCATCGCATAACGCCATTTTGTCTGTAAACAAAAATATTCCATGTTGCCATTCACAAAAAATTAGAATAAATGAAATTCCTTTAGCTAAAGACTATATCCATATAAATGATTTCTGTTTACTTCGTTAAATTATGTTTCAATTTAATTTTATTATTCGGTGATTAAATTATGGACACCTTGTATAGACAGCTACTAATTTTCGGGCAACAAAATAAATTGTTCAAAATACGTTGGTCTAATGTATATTACGTATTTTGATTAATGTTTACTATTCACCATTCTTATTTTGCCTATAGCAGAATGAAATTTTGACTTATCTTTGTGGGCGCATACTTATCTATTGATCTTCCTGTAGACCTGCGCATAGAGGAAACATGTACTTTAGTGTTAACAGCTAATTGTAGCGAATCATTGATTCTTAAATACTAAGTGAAAGCTCGTCGTTTCTTCTTGAATTGATACTGGATTGATAAATCTACTTTCAGTTTAAATTTTGCTGATCCTTGTTACGCGTAATTTGATTTCATACAGCACAAAAGCGATTTTTTCATTTCTACCTTGGATAAGAATTGCAAAGAGTCAGAAGCACATAACAACGTAGTAAATAAGCAAGGCATTTTGGTATTATAAAAATTTCTTAGTATCATTAATTCTACCAAGAAAAATTAGTTGCACTTATAGCCCTGACTACCATGTTATCATCAGCTTAAACAAATATCCAATGATAACTATTATCTTCAGCTAACATTCATATTAGGAGTTTAGGGGGAGAGGACAACCGAAGTTAAGAGTTACAACGATTCTGACAGATAACACGAAGTAATAAAATGACGCTTTGTTTGTTTGGTTATGCCGGTTTTCATCGAGAATTCATTCTGCTCTTACCAGTGCTTCATGGAATCTTATATAGGACCTCATGCCATAATAGCTCTGCATAAGTTTATCACCATCGAGGATGAGAATGAATGAGAAAATTAGATTAATATTTTGACTGACATTGATTTGAAAATTTTTACCAAGCTAGGCTGGAACTTTCAACTCTGTGGTTGACAGGCGTTCTTCCGCTGGGCTGTCTTTTCGTATAATAAAGCGTTATTCATCGGTTTTATTAAATTGTATACAGCGCTTTATATACCAGTATATATTTTATCATGAAATTAAAAAGTGATAAATATAATTTATTCCAGATTTAGGACAAGCTATTGACCTGCCAGCTGACGCAGATCGCTTAAAATTTCTCCTCAATATTTCTGACATCTGCACAACACCCGGATGCGTCAAAGCAGGTGACATTCAGATTTTCTTATTAGTTGTTTCTCTAAGGTTTCTTTTGTTTCTCGACTGAAATGCTTCGACTTTAAAATATGAAATTTTTAAGAAAATAGTGCAGTTCGAGATCTTGTTTTACAACAACTATTGTACAAAATATAATTTTAGCCATAAACTTAGAAACCTGTTGTTGCATTTAACGTTATATAGACGCAGTGATTCACGAGATCTTAAAAGTGGTTTGAATGCGCATTTCACGATTCTAAACCAAAATAAAACGAAATGTTGAAAAAAAATGTCATTTCACTTTCATAGAAATTAAACTATATTAGGAGAAGAATTCAAATTTCTTAGGTTTTCTCATACTGTTGTTAATAATGCGTGATCTCTTCCGAGTTTCATCATAAGGTTCCGATGATGACCTCAGAAGATGTTTTCTTCATGTGAGGTTCATCACCTGAGGTTTCCTTGAATTCTCATTGAAAAAAAATTATTTAAAATTAAATTATTTAAACCAAACAAATATTTATTTCAATCTAAAATTGCTTTAAATTGTGTCATTACTGTCAGCGTTCCGTTTCTTCTTAAATAATATTTTTTAATATAGGAATGTTTAAACATACTAATGGAAAATATTTAATATTATAAGCGGAGATGTTACAAAAAGAAGATGTGTGTAAATTATTTATATTATTTGAAGATACTCTAGATATCACAACCCCATTCAGAAAGTTTGAGGATAATGTTGTTGGATAGCTCAGATCGAAATGCAAAATGCAAAAACTTATTATGTGGAAAACTTCGAGACAACATCTATTGAAGCACACACATGCATTCCGGGCTTTCTGACTTTCCTGTACATATCAATTAAACTTGTCGTTTTTTGTTTATCATAAACTTGTCATCTCAATGCTTTCAATAGGTTGATTTTTTTTAAATTAATGATCTTGTACTACTATCTTCATAAGAGGAAACAGCTAGATCAGACGGGGACAAATGTGGCAAATTTTAAATAGTCAGGCAACATAAGGATCTGTTTGTCATTTACGAAATACAAGATTCTTTACTCAAACGCTCTTTACTCAGCGGTATCGCAGTAAATGTCGAAAGAAGTTTTCATGAGGTTTAATTCCCAACATGAATTATGGTTTACACTAATTATTATTTCTCAGATGTTGTAACTTCATACCTTTTCTTCTATAGAAATAAAGTCTGACTTCAACATTTTCGCAGCCTTAGTGATTAGTGCCTTTGGTATTGCGTATAAATTATAACGTGTATCATACATAGTTCAAAACGGAATATAGCTTCGTTTAGGTGTTGCCTGTGAGAATTATTGAGCTGATGTTCTCGGAAAATCGACACCATAAGTCCCTATCTATGTCGGCTATTCTGGAAGACGGTACTGACAAAATTTCGTCTAATAACCAAATACAATCACTGTAAATTTCAAGCACAGTTTCCTCGAACGTTTTAAATTCACGGGTAAATGCAGCTGAACTCGTTATTTTAGCTACAGCGCTAAGAGTTAACCATCAGAGTAATAGAATTAAATGTACCTATGAGCTTATAGCTGTGGTTACTAAAAGTAAATTGGCAGCAAGTTCTATGCAAGGTTTTACAGTTCATGCAATGACAAATGTGACTCAATAAAAATAAAATGAACTATTGAAAGCATTTTTTTCTGAATGTAGGAAATGAAACTCTGGATTGTAAATAAAGACTCTGTTACAAGCTCAAAAATAGCACTTAAGAATTCTATGCAAGTTCCATATGGTATTATGTTTTCTGTAAAGATTTTAAGTTGCTTAAAAGACACGAATTTGTGTTAATAAATATTGGATCACTTTACTGTATACATAACATTTTAGGTTAATTAAGTCATTATTTTATTAGTTTGCCTGTATATTTCATTACGTTACCTTTATGTCAAAGCCGTTTATGTTCGTGAAATGCTATCGGAATACAAATTAAATACCGCAGTGATTTGGATTTTCAAAGTGAATTTTTGTCAATTTTTGTTGACCGTTAACGTATTATGTGGCCTTGCTGTTGAATTAAATCGGAAATTTTAGTTTCGGAGCCTTGTTTGTTTCGAGAATAATGAGACAATTAGGTGTCCCATTTAAGTCTTGATTAGTTCCGCGTTAAATCGTATTTCACGTTTAGCTGGACTTGCATGTTTATTCTGCATTTCCAGACTGTATTTCGCTAAGATTGTATTTCTACTACATCTCTCAATTTGAGTTACTATAAATTTGACATGTTGATAAACAAGTTTATTTTAAACTTTTTTAACAAGTTTATCTTAAGCTGGGATTTACAGTAGTTAGAAGACAGATGAAATGATAAGTCATCAAACTTTTGTTACAGTTCATTAGACTGATTCCTTAAAATAGTAGACCCTCATGTTCTAGTGTGTAAAACATAAACACGGTTTGATTTTGGGTTCCGTAATTTCACAAGAAAATTATCTGTGAGGCTAGCAAATATAAACGTGAACAGAGTAATTTGTACTTAAATAATAAAAAAAAACTAACCAGCGCAAAAAACACAGAACTTATGCAAAATGGAAATCAAACAGAAAAACTCTTTAAAAAATGGCCGTATGACAAAAGATCGCCTATCCGAGAAGAAGAATAACAAACAGAAGGCCTTTAAGGAAATATATGATTCATTGAATTGCAGTAGCTGCTTGGTTTCCATACTCAAAATCTGGAAAAGAATGATTCTTGAGGTCAGATACTGAATTCATCGATAAATATATATTCCAGTCGTTTGTTGATTGCGGCGAATGTATCGTGAGGAAAGCAGTTTCTCAAATGCATCCCATGTATGTTCTGTAGAATTTATATCAAGAGAGAATTTAGCGGTTCCTCTTTTTCTTTCATCTCCTACATAGCATGAGTCCGATGTATCTGGGGTCGTTTTCCATAAAACCGAGGTCAATTTCATCGGCACTTGTAACAGATGTATGTGGGTGAAAAGTATCACTTACTGATAATCGTGATGTCTGTAACGGTATGTCTATCGAAAATGGGAAGTGCGGCCGTTCACATAATATCTCTTCAGGCACAGTATCCAAGATTACAATAACAGATTCCTTCCTTGTGCTATCAGGATGAAATTGCATCCTTATCTCTCTCCATATGAGCTAGCGTCCAGGCGTCATGACATTGAAACGGCTTTCATGAATAAAGAGGCCAATATCCCAATGACAGTGCATAAAGGTTTTGAGTTAGTTTATCAAACTAAACAGCCCCTCTTGCAGTCACTGATATGCAGTGTCCAAGTCGAGAAGTGAACAGGCACTTTCATGATGGTGTTTTGCCACAGTAACCTGCGATATTTGATTCGTGTTGCACTAAGCAATTGCTGAGAAATGTTGGTACTAGCGTCGATCTTCTTTTCCCCAGTAGATTCCACATCGCCAATAATTTTTGGCATTATGTGGTTTTGGTCAATCACTACCAAACGTTTTTTCAGACCTGTAGTAATGTTTTCAAAGACTGTGTAAGTCCGTGAAACAGGGCTATAGTTAGTACCGAGCTCTTAGTCTACACTTGTTCCGCTGCGCCCCTCCTCAACCTATTCATATCTTTCTCTGTGGGAAGTCGTTCAAATGTTCTCTTCCAGTCATGCTATACGTACAACTTGCTTGGATTTGCAGCGAGTTCTTTAACAATCTTTTTTATACTCACTTTGCTTATCACGATACGTCGCGGGCGCTTGCTTCAGGTATTCTACTTACTCTCGCATTCACCGTTTCCTCTAATTAGCTTTCTATTGAATTATTTATGCATCTATGCTTTATGGATTGTGCTTATTATTATTAGTTCCTTTCTCTAGTTTCACAGCTTTATTTTAAAAATTTGGTCTGGGTTTACGTTTTACACGCCAGTGTATTATACACAGTACTAAAATCTATTTTCAGTCAGCAATGATTTTTTACTTGATTTTCGATTTCAAATTAATTGTAACCTGATCTCATTTGGATACAGAGTTGGCAATTTTGTTACCATGTCCTGTTCTGATTTGAAACAAAAAAAAATTGTGTCTTTCCCATATGTCATAATATTTTGAAATATACTGTATTGTGGGTCAATTAAAACCTATAAACATGGGCCAATCGTTTCAGTAATTCCTACTGAAACACACTTATCCAGATCGGCAGGAGAAGAACATGCGTTAATGACGATATTGCATGTAAAATATTGCACGTACTCTAATGTTTTAGTATTTCTTCTGCGCATTTGCTTCTTGAGGCCTATGTATAAGACAAAAGCTTTAAGCTTCCACTTCTTACTTTTTTCCCGTTTCTTTCTCTGTTTTCCAGCAGTGAATTTATACTGTCAAAAACGTGAAAAACGTTTAGAAAAGACCTCACATTCAATGATGATTTTAAAAAAGAAGGAAAATTCATTAAATAGTTTCATAATAGTGAAACACCATAAAGGTGGGTGCATCTTTACAAAAATAGGCCACAGTTCGTTGAGATAAAATCTTTCGTAAAGACGCAGGTCCGTAAAGGTTATCTCATGCTTTTGAAGATCACTTACTAACTTGCGAAAAAACACTTTAAAAAAGTAATTTTATGCAACAAAACTACCTTCATAAAAGCAATTTTATGCCAGTACACCATTGCGCCTACTACTCTGATCAATAAAGTATATAAAACTTCTGCAGGCATAAGGCGCTCACATTTTTATAACGGTCATTTTTTTTTCCAACTTACAAACTGATCGGTATAGAAGTGTAGGCACATTTATGCAAGGACATTCTTGTGAAAGTTTTCTTCCTTTCGAATCGTGACCGACTTTGCATTAAATTATTTGAACTTTTATGATGGGTTACTGTTATGAAGGGATACTAATAAATTATGGAGCTATCCAGCAAAAGTAATGCTATGTAAATGCATATAATTACTTTGTTACAATAAATATGTTTTCTGCTTCATATGGAGTTGAGAGTTCAATATTTATTGTATGAAATAATTTTCTTGCGGAAGTGTACAAGGTTAAATGAATAAAGATATGTAATTATCTATACATTAACAGAAAGATATTGGTTTGAATTTAAAATATGCAACAAAATTTTCTATTTTTAATGTCATACTGTTCTTTCTTCCATTCATTCTTTGTTTGCTTATGAATTATAATGATCCTCTGCATTAAATATAACTGGAAACAACATTTTCCATGAATGTAAACATTTCGGAATACCTTAATTGCATAAAATTTCTTTTTAACTTCCTATCAAATTTTCTTTCCAAAGCTCTCACATATAAGGTCTCTATTTCCTTTTCATTATGAACATAATAATTTAAAACTTGTGTTTATTCTATCATTTCAGATGTTAGTTAATACTGAAGAACGAAGTAATACTTGTGTAACTGATAGTTTTCTTTGAAATTTCAGCTGCGCACATCTTACAGAATTTGGATGAGAGTGTGGACCCCTGCGATGATTTTTTCCAATTCGCCTGTGGTGGCTGGATGAAGAGACATGCCAGCGAACGAAATTCTATAGCTATAAATAAACTTAAGTCTTATGTTGCTGCTCAATTGAGAGGTATATAAAGGAATTTAATATAAGAAAGTAGAGTAAAGTATTTGATTGAAGGTTTCCTTGATGAATAATTGAGACTAATTGGCACAATAAATTTTAATTTTCTCCTTAATCTGAAGGAAACCACTACTTGCTTTCTTTGAAAGACGAGAGTTTTTTTTAGGATCAATGTTGAGACGAGCTACTGATGATGTATTCATATATGCGTGTATACAGCATTCCTCTGTGCTAAAAAAATTCAGGAAAAATTTTCTTTTTTCTTATCTAGCGAATATTTTTTTTTTTTTTTTTTTTTCACCAAACCTCAATTGATTTCTCTCCTGAAATCGGACCACAGATTTTAACTGGTTGCTAAATATATTATTCCTGCACTAGAAAGGCACACAAGGAAGGACATCATAAATAGTTAGATCAAGACTTCTCACGTTTCTTAAAAAGACGCCTTATGTAATACGACATTCTTACAAAAGGCATAGTTTTAATAATTTATAAAAAGGCGAAGCCTAAGACTTTGCATGTTGCTTCTTATTAAGGCGTACAACCACACCTATAAATTTCTTGCATATGCTCCCTGCGTGGACCATGACAGACACAGCGTGCATTTATTCGGTAGCTAAGATTTCATCATACCAAACATAAAGTATATCAGTCCATTGTTGCAAAAAATGTAACTTGTATGGAATGAATCTCGCGCGAAATTGTATATAAGTGAATGAAACGTTAATATAGGTAAGTGATTAAAAAATCCAAGGCAAAATGATAATTTATTACAGAAATGTCACACTCTTACTTGCCCATTGCCCTTGCTCACTTGTTTGGCTGAGGACGTGCAACATATCCTATTGCAAATTGCTTCTTGGAATCCTTTTCAGAAGCGACAAAACATGTGATTGAAAGACGTCATAAAAATACTGGTGTCATAGCGCCATGTTAGAGCTCGCCGGCTATCATATTCAACGGTACCTCATACCAGCTATTGAAGCAGTGTGTCGTTGTAAATCGAAAGGAGGATTGAAGAGCTCACCACGCAGCCTGCGCACTAGCACACGATTTGTATCACTGCCAAAACTGAATCTTTGTCCGTCGCTGAAGATGACTTGGTCCCATTCGGTTGTGGTCTAATCGATTACAGCAGGACATTATACCAAAGAGAGGCAATGGTAGGTGGATGCAATTAGCAGCACTCCTTGTGGGCGTCGCAATAGCAAATGTTCTTCAGCCTGCAGTTTTTTAATGGCACGGACAAGCAATGAGCCCGTATGAAAGTACTGCCTATGTCCGAATGGCAGGCAATGAAGCAGTTTGTGCTGTTTGTGCTTATCATTTGATATGGCAGTCTTCACCTCCACATCAAATAATAGGTATCATGTATGTTTGTTGATTCACCATGTATGCGATGTCTGTCTTGTCCACTGATCTCAACACGTTCTCATAGTAAAGTTAGAACGGACTTCGAAGCGGGCTACTCGTATATCTGATCACCCAGTTTCAATCCCTCTGGTGATTCTTTTCCGCTGGAACTCTGACAACTGACCAAGCTGTCTTCGACAGCGGTGGAATTGCGTTCTTAGTGAAAATGAATTCCTCTGAAATAGATGAAGTATAGGTAAAATAAGTTTGCGTGTTAGTTTTATAAATTAGGGAGAATGAATTTCAGTTACTTCTGGTGACTTTAGGCAATGAGTAATCATACCGTATTTCTAATTACTTGCATGTCTGCCTGACATGACAAGTTTCGTTATGATCCGACAGTTTTTTTGATGGGCAAATTTTTTTGACAGTGAGTGTTCTTATTTCGTTTCTTTGTTATCACAACACTTTGATTAGAAAATTGAATTAGTAATTAGAATTTTTTCAAAAATTAAATTCTTCAGCTTGAAAGTTTTTAACATTTTGTTGCACCTTTACTAACAAAAATCTCTGGAAGAAAATATCTATTACTACATTTAGAGCTTGTATGCCTGCATTCTAAAATGATTTCGTGCAGCTTTAAATTTATTTTTTATTTATTATGATCAGAAAGCTTTCAAAATATTATGCCTGGATGTGGTTAAGTAAACAACCGACCGTCTAATCAGTGCTGCTACTAAAACACCTTTAGCAGTTAATCTCCTAAATTTCCAATTAACCACAATTCACGTTAATTGACGATTTTACTTTTATCTCCATTCTTTTCTCATGAATTCTAAAAATAGATAAAGCTTAATTTAAGCTTAATTTTCCTTCGCTATGCATTTGTCATTAAGAAGATTATTTTTCAGTTTGTAATTATATTAAAACTTCTGTTGATTAAAAACTGCTGAGGTTACCCACGATAAACGCATAGAGTTCCTGTAGAGCTACTTTATTTAGATAATTATTATGATTATCTAAATAAATTTATCTATTATTTACATAATTATTATTTTACTAATTTAAAAATATTAATATACAGCTGATTTTTAAATGAAAATTTATGTAGGGAAAAAATTTACAAAGGACATGCTGATCAGAATACATGTTTGTATGCAAATGGGCGTGACTTTGATAATTCGATAACAACATCAGAAACATGTCATTACATAAACTGGCAACTATGATTGTTGGTAACTGACCATTATACACCTTCAATTTCAGTACATGTAAGTACGTGAAAAACAGCGTTATTTACCGTGAAAAACAACGTACTATCTTTGTGGCACGGTGTAAAATTTTCCTTTTGTACGCACAGAAAAATTGAGTGAAAAGGATTTAGAGGTTACTATAGGTTATTCTGAACCTTCTTTATTTATAGTATATGGCAGCTCAACACAAATCAGTCCATATATTTTAACCATGTTTAGTTTTTTTTTTTTTTTAAGACCCCTCATTTTTCAAAGAAATCTTCCAGATTTTTTAGGGTATAAAAGTAATTGTTTGAAAAGAATTTTCTATGTTATTCTTTGGCTGTATACTAACCTCCTTATTCTATATTAGTTTGAAATTTTTACCTTGAAATCGAACGGTGAAGCCCAGGTGGGCCCAGACAGGGCTCACCGATAATCTAGGACAACTCAGAGTCTGTATCCTTTGTTTGTCCGCATCTCATCGGTCAGTTCATTGGCAACAGAAAGGTGGGTTCACATCTGTGTCTCATTTCCTGTTTTTCTCTTTCTTCTTTTTTCTCTATCTATTTTTTCTCTATCTATATCTTTTTTGTTTTGTTTTGTTTTTAGGGGGCCCGTTCGTTATCTACTAACACATTGTTGGGGTGATTTTCTGAAGGTCAACGGTAATTTTATCAGTTAGCTGTTTGGTTTTTCACTAAAGCAGTTCTCTTTTCTCTTTCGCTTTCATTGAAAGTTTCGTTAGTGCTACGTTTAATAGTTTTAAATTGTAGTCGTTTACTTAATTTTATTTTGTAGTTTATAATTTCTAATTGAAGATATAATATTAGTTTATTTTTTCGGAGTTTTAATTGTTTTCCAACGGATCGGAGAGGGCTGACTATTTCTGAAGCACTGAAAGTGCTATACGAGTTGCTTTCAGAAAGTGAACCTGATACGGATCCTGGTACATGTGCAAAACATGCAATATTGGGTTGTGCTTTTTCAAAGGTGGTGTCACTTCGAAAAGTACCACCATGAAAAAAATACACTAAAACGTAAATATGAAATGTAAATATCATATATCTAAGTTACTTTTTTTTCATTCATTCGAATGTAATCATCATATAACAAAAAAAAAAAAAAAAAAAAAAAAAGCTTTTTAGGGGGGTAGAGTAGCAAGTCTCCCCGTGGCACACTCTAAGTAATGCTAAATATGTTACGGTATTCAGAATCTAGTGTTTTTTAATCGTAGGCAAAATCTCTTACTCTTATACGCGCTTCCAAGCAACGACGTCGTGTTTAACTTTCTTAATAGTTTGAAGCATAATTACTGATTGTACACTGTCATAGTGTGAAGTCCTGTATGAGTATTTTTGTGGAAAGTTTCAGAAATGTGAAGTCTTTCTTTTCTTAAATACATTTTATCAAGTTATCATCAATTCTGTGTACATTCAATCTATTACGAACCTGTCCACACGCAATAATATATTTCTCATGAAAAATACCACAAAATCGTCCACGCAAACACGTTATTCACCGGTATTTGATCTTATATCGAACTACAGTATTCAAGGATCAACTTGGTGTCTGAAAGAATTGGGATAAATTTCAATTGCAGCAGACGAGCATCAATCCAGCCAATGTCGGCAATACTATTTTAGTAAGTACACGGTTATCAAAAGCGCTTCTATTTTAAATTAATATTTGTCATCAAAAACATTTTGTCAAAACATTCGTCAAACGTCAAAAACATTCCTTACTCATTTTAATGCGTATCCTTACGCCCATATAATATATAGGGAACTGAAATATGTATTTCAGATGTCACTTTGAAAATTCTAAACTGCATTTCGAAACAGTATTTAATCGTTTAAATGAACGTTTATTAATTAAAATCTTAAAGTATTAGATTAAAACTAATTTTCATTGTTGCTTAGGAGTATTTGAATTTTGATTTAACTTTTCTAATATAAATTAACTCATTTGGATATTTGGATATTCTTGACAGATACATGGAAGCATGGGGATTAATGTTGGATATGTGAAAATTCTTTATAAAAAAAGTAGAAGCTAGAAATGAGACTTTATTTGCATAAATATTGCATTTTGTATTTTCAGTTCTTCTGCAAAAAAAGTTGACTGGCAATGAACCGAATTACGTTCGCATGGTGAAAGTAATATATGATACCTGCATGGATTTGAGTAAGTTTGATTTTTTTTTTTTTTTTTGTTTTTTTTTTTTTTTTTTTTTTTTTTTTTTTTTTTTTTTTTTTTTTAACAGTTATGCTTACATCATTTACATTAATTTCCATCATTAAAGTAACAATTAAGAATGTTAAGCTTACGTATAGAACTAATCCCATATGTACTAATGTTTTTAAATGCAAAGACGTATAAAATCAAGTGCATCATATGAAAACTAATTTAGACTCCTTCCATAATTGCAGCAGTCAGGCATAAGATGAAAACAGTAATTTTTTTAAGTAGTTATACGTTAATAGAATGTAATAATAGAATAAATATAAGCTGCGTTTTTGTGGGAAAGATCTGAATACATGTTTTGCCAAATGAATTTTCATGGAGTATCATTTTCCTGCTTGAAGAGCTCCATAATTATCCAGACGTAGATCAAGTGACTGGATATAAAGTATTTCCTATCGTTAACTTGTTACAGAAGTTGTCTTCATCCCAAAGGCTTCGTCAATGAAGTCTTTGAATTGTGACTCTGTGTAAGATCGATACGTAAGTTAACTTCTAGAAGGAACACGTTACCTACTCAGAAATTAGTAAGATTTAATCTCGTTGTTATCATTGAGATTGTTATACTTACTTTTACTGACTACAGATAGCTTCAGGATAAGCAGTTCCCTACTTCGTGTGTCAAATAATTTACATATTCTCAATTCACGTTGATGGAGAGGGTGATTCCAATAGAACTGACTGTCCAATCGCATTCGCCTAGCAACTGTCATATATCTAACCAGCTAGAAATCTAACAACACATACAAGATAGAAAAATAAATTTTGTTGCATAATCCATTATAATTTACAGTATCAACTAAAAGATGTAGTCACCGCTATTTGTGGGTTTAAGAACCTTAGTGTTTAAAGCAATAAAGCGCACAATATCTCTCCTAGACCTTACCACTAGGCTCCAACTAGTGGAAATTCTAACTTGCACTCCATTCGACATGCATTTCAAGCACTAATTCACAAGTCGGCTAAATGGATAGCTCTCTTTCTCAGGTTAACATATTACATTAGGTAATTACTACAGTGCTCTTTTTAAATTAAAAATGTCCTCTATATTTAAATTCTACTGATGCTGAGCGGACGATAATGGGGTACAGAAAAGAATTAATATAAAAAAATAACAGTCTTAATTAAAATATACCTTATTTTTGTAGCTCTCATTCCAGATTTTGTCAGGAGATCATTATCAGTTTTTATTCGATTAGAACAGTATTTGGAAAAAACCGAACAATATACATCAAAATAACGTCAAATTAATATGCAATGCAGAGGCCATTACGACATTTGCATGTATGCGAATCTCTTTTATAAAGATGCATGACAGTTGCTTTATTCTAAAATTGAGAGATGATATCCTTGACCTTTATGAATGTCTTCATTGAATTTCAGTTGAAGAGACATTCTCCTATTAGAAGAGGAATGCTCACGTTGATCTAGCTGAGTTAAACTATACTTTGTAGTTAGTTACATCTAAGGCATCTGTTAGCCAGCTTGACATCTGAACTTAAATAGGATTAGATGTACAAGGTGTGACACACACACACACACACACAAAAAAAAAAAAAAAAAAAAAAAAGAAAAAAAAGAAAAAAAAAAAAAAAAAAGAGACTGGTCCAATAAATTATTGTACTTACAGAATCAGGTGTTCGTGACATTATCACCTTCAAAGTAATTCCCTTCAGCCTTTATACACTTCTGCATTCAGTGCTGAGAATGCTGGTAACAGTTCTGGAACGAGGGTTATTGAAGTCCCTGCAGGAGATTCTCCGTTTTTGCCTGAACCTCTTCAGCTGAGGTAAAATGGGCCCCCTTTAAGAAAGATTTAACTTAATATAAAAATGTCGCATGGAGCCAAAATAGGTGAACAGGGAGAATATCCCATTACAGTAATATTTCTGCTGGTCAGAACCTGCTCGACAGATAGGACCGTGTGAGCGGGTGCATTGTCCTGGTGCAACAGCCATCCATCATTCCACAATTGTGGCCTTTGTTTTCCTAATTTTTTCATGAAGCCATTTTAATACTTCAATGTAGTAATGTTGATTAACAGTCTGATCACTGGGAACCCATTCAATCATGATGCATGGGTTCATCATCTTCCACACTGTCTCTTCCCAATGAGAACCGCTTATGCCTTTCAAACACAAGTGCATGAGACAAAGTTTCATCTCCATAAGCCTCGGCAAACATTTGAAACCTTTCCTCCGTGGCTGATTTCTTAAGTTTCACAAGAAACTTGATGTTGATTAGCTGTTCGGTTTTTACATTAGACATTTTTTTCAGTCAGAATGTTTGTTCACTCAATGACGCAGTACTCCCCACTGGTGTGGTCGGTTAAGTCGAAACTGGCCGCATAGATAGAGGAGACTTGTTGCATGATGTCATCAGAGCAGTTGTTGCCGACTCTACTCTGCTTTCAAGCTACATAGTCTCTCTTTTTTTTTTTTTTTTTTTTTTTTTTTGTCACACCTCGTGTGCTTAACTGTAAAGATATGTTTCTAACCTAAGAAAATTTCAGTTTGTAGCTGCTCAAACCGAGACTTTGTTTGTCCTTATTATTTATTATTATTAATTAAAATCTTTATTTAAAGGAATAATTGTGGATATCTGTATCTAATGAGCTAATTACTATCAATAAAAATAATGTCGAATGCTCTTATTGGGTTGGGATAAGAGTTGATTTCTATTTCTGAATTCAGTTGTTTGTCTTTAGAATTCTCAAGTCTATTTTGAAATTCTCTTCTGGGCATGCGCAGTATGCGAAATTCGTTTAACATTGATCAACTGAATGTGCAGTTTACCATTACGCAGCCGAAGCTGTACTTTAGTGCTTTGCGGGGAAGCTATCTTCACCGTTATAGCCTTATAGACCGAAGGCTGTGTTGCTGACTGTTTCAGCGTGTTTATCGTAATTTTTCAGCGGCTGTAAACGTGTTTTTGGAACTCTCCTATGTAATATTGAGAAATAAATTATGTTTAAATACTTCATCAAGTGTTGTCATAAATCACTCCAAATCCACGAACCCGTAGAAGGCAACAATACTTTGTATTTGGAAGTATGTATTTACTAACAACGGTTTTTCGAAAATAAAGGCCGGAAAATGCTCTTGTGAACGAGGTGCATATACAATAGTTACTCACAATCCTTATTACTAAATCCTGAGTCTCAATATATGAGTTTCGAAAGCTTTCCTAAATAACTGAAAAGCACTGGAAACATTAAATAAATAGAACCAAACAGAGAAAATTCGAATTTTGTCATTGGTTTTTAATTCTACCACAAAAGAGCTATTTTTCAACTGCCTAACACCAGCTAGAAAGCAGAAAGTCTCATTCACCGGAAATAATCTGAATCAATTAGTTAACATGATCACTCAGTTAACTAATACATTTAAAGCAGTTGCGTCTTTTATTCAGGGCTCATAGAAGAAACTTGCCTTTTACAAATGATTCAGATACTAAATAGCTAAGCCGCCAATAAATTCCTAACTCTAAATTGGTAAATTACTATGCTGATAAAAATTAGATAATTGAAACGAAAGATTTAAACGAAGCTACTTCTAAAGCTTCAGTTCACGTTCCAAGCATAAAGACATGGAATTCAAACTCAGAATTATCTTTTCGATTGGGAACAGAAATCAATGACATATAACAGCTATTTCAAAATACTTCTAACCTTTTGCATTTCAGCTTTAAGGACTATTCCACCAGGCTTTCCGCTAACATTTTCATTCAGAACACTAAACTATTTAAGTAAATTAAATGCATACATTACTTGGACCTACCCTATAGATTGAATAATATTTAGGTATTGCAATCATTCAAGAGAGGTAATGGACAAACAATGCGCATTTAATACTTGAAACACTAATCTAATTTTATAACAGAATTAGCGGCCGATGTGAATTAAATTAGATTGAGAGTAATACATCTAACAACAGAGAAAACGATACCGCTGTAATTCTTCTCTAATAACGATGCAAAAAATATGATTCATATTCATACATTTTTCGGTCTGACGCGATATGGAAACCACATAAAACATTTCCATAGAAAAATAAACTAATTCTCTCATTATATCAGCAAAAATGGTACGCAGTTTTAATGATTTTCATCTTTCTAATCAAATGGTCGTAAAAACTCAAGCCCATCCGATATTTCATATTAAGTTTTAGATGATTAAATGTGGCGAAACATTTATCATAATTAATCAGAAAGCAATAACGCGAACAAACCAACATGCACACAGACATTCTTCCTTATATAGATTTCGTAAGACTTGCAAATTTTGGATTAACAAACTCTACGATTTGAAAGCGTGCAGGAGCAACATTTTTCGAAATAAAGCATTTTGATATCCAACTCGCGAGACTGTTGCCACTAGGAAAAATGAGTGCGAAAATTAATTAAATTTTCGGAGTTTTTAATTAATATTGCTGCTGATTAAAGTCGCACGTTGTCGAAAAGCCTTCCCACGAATTTTTGGAATCGGGAATAATGTATTTAATGTTTAACAATGCTATTATTATTTCTCTATAAAACTTAAACATGTTTTATTAACAAACTCTACGATTTGAAAGCGAGCAATGGCAACAACTTTCGAAATAAAGCAGCTTACGAACTGGGAAAAATGAGGGCGAAAATGATCGTTTTTCTGAGTTTTTAAATAATATCTCTGATTTTAGCTACTTCCTTTTGGAAAAAAGTGGACGTCGAACTTTTCCAAGACCCAGAAAATAATCGTAGAAAGTTTGGCGACGACAGCTATAGTAGTGGCTGAGTTATTAGAGGACAAACAAACATTCTTTCTTCTTTATATATATAGATAAATAACGAGACACTTTCTCTTCATTCTTTACACTTTCTGTGAATAGAAAGCATCGAGGCTAAGGGTAGCGAACCTCTAAAGAAAGTACTGAAAGATCTCGGAGGATGGCCAGTGGTGGAAGGAGAAAATTGGGATCCGGATTCTTTCAACTGGATGGAAACTCACTTTAAGATCCGTAGAATGGGCTACAATCCGAATATATTGATAGACTTGTCTTCTTTGCATATACTAGGCATCTCTAGTGATCTAACAGTGAGTACGCATGTCTTATTTAAACTCATTTAATACTATATCGTATGCACCTAACCATGCTTAAAAATCCATGCTGTAATTAAAAGCAAGGTTGAGGTCAGGTCGATTTTCATCAGCAAAGTTTCAAACAATTTTGAAGAGAGAAAATTCAGTATAAACAAGTACAAACATTGCTGAGTAATTAATTTGGCTTTCATAAAAGAAGCATAATTAATGCATTTTATAAAAAATTTGGAATTGATTCGCTTAAAATCTTCGACACCAGGCATTCACTTTTGAGTATTCAGGTTTCTAATTTTTACAAAATAATGCATTACTGTACACTAATATGTCATTACAGATACTGGTGACTATTTTAGACTGTAATTACAGTCTGTGACTCGATATTTTATTCCTGTTGTATGAACCGCAGCAAAAAATATGTGGTCTTGAAAATTAGATTATTAAATTTGCCACCTAATACATATCTGGATCGCATAAGAGGTTCAATTTTTAATAGCATTAAGTCGTTATTTTTTATAATATATTTATATTGCGAAGTATATAACTACGGCAATACTTTCTACGCGCGTTTGTTATGACTCCTAAATTCATTGTGAACCAAGATTAAGTTTTATGAAGACTCGGAAGTTGAATAAAAAAAATCGCCTTTTACATTTTATGACAATATATTTCATAAATCAAGTTAAATTCAATTTTAAAAATCATTATGGACTGCCGATGAAACGTTATGTTAAAAAACCAAACATACCAGAGTAGTAAATGCTATTAAATTTGAAATGTTTTCCTTTAAATTTGCATCAAAACTAAAGGATAATGATATAAATAAAAGGTAACTGATACTTGACAAAATATTATTAACAGAAATTTGCACACAACCATTAATTTACATAAATTGCAATATTTGGTGGTGGTAGTGGATTTTATTATGGCAAAGCATTCAAGGACTATCTGCCTACGCGAAAGGGTGCTATCATGCAGGACTTTCTAAGGAAAACTGGCTGCTATACATGTCACACATGGGGAAACCACTGAAACGACCATGCCCTTTCGCAGGTTCCGAACCTCGGACAGAACTACTAGTGTTTTGCGATTTTACAACTCGGCCACTGGTGGGCTCTGCAATATTTGGCAGTTGACTAATCGCAAAATATTGAAATTAAATCCAAATGTATGGTAACTGGAAAGTGACGGAAAAACTAAGTCACGTCTTGTGGGAAAAGTTTTTTAATACAGTGTATGGTCACCTCACGGATATGCTTACCTCCTATCTTGATTTCGTAAAATTTACCAAAGAGTTGATCACATCTTGTGAAATTACAGGTCCCTCGTCTAAAAGTGCAATTTTCAGCTACTGAACGCCAGCGGTGGAATTTGGTGCAGTGAAATTCGGCACCTTATGGCATTCCGCACGTGCTTAATCGCGTTCAAGTCTGGTGAGTAAGGTGACCAGTCCATTCGTGATATCTTCTGTCTAGAAGTATTCTGACACCACATATGCCCAATGAAGCTGAGTGTTCTCATTCAGAGTTCTGGGTCAGCAGTACCCATAAACAGTCTAAACTGGGGTTCCACTACATCGTTCACATATCTCAGAGCAGTTACAGAACCTCCTTGAAAGATACGCAGTTCAGTGCTGTCATTTCAAATGATTACTCTCATCGCGGTCTAGAGAACGGGATATTTCACGGACATGTGAAGCCACGTTGTATGTTTCTTTCTCTGTTCCCATCAAAACTTATCTAGAACCTCTGTTCAGTAAACAATCTCAGTAAACTGCTCAGTAAACAATACTCGTACTCAGTCGTCTTGGCTCCGCTGAGCATGACGATGACAATTTAAACGGGGACCTCTGAAAGCTGGTGTGAGTGGGACACAAACCACTGATTTTTCTCGTATATAATTCAACCCAGTTAAGCCTTTGCGCATCAGTATAACGGCTAATTAGAGTTCCTGTGGCAGCCTGAAGGTCTACAATCAAAACCTCTTATATTCGCTTCACAGTTGTTTAGAGATGAGAGGGTCAGAAAACGATCTTCTTATACGGAGTTTGCTCTATCTCTGACCAGACTGTATATCAACTGATCCAGTGCTTAAAAAGCTACTCCAAACTCTTGATATGACACTTCGAGGGGTTTTCATATCTTGGGCGCCCTCCATTTGTGTTTGACCTCTCGCGATTCGACCAATTATACGCCACTTTTTGACCTTTGCTTAAATGATGCCTTTGAGCCATAACTACCGAATACTGATCACTTCTGAAAATACATTCACTTTAAACAACACTACAGACCAGAATTTCAACATGCGATCTTTCCGCACCATATTGTCAATCACCGATTTTGCATATTTCAAGAGCTAACATATGCACGGAAGGGCAATTTTGTGTTCAACTGTGTTTAGTTATCATAAATGATTACAATACTAGGGTATTAGTTGCAACATTAACTTAGTGAGCATATTTTTTCTCATTATCCTTTAATTTTGATGAGTAGTGACGTTGAAACCCTGATTATAGTCATGATGAAAAAAAGGTATGTAATTATTTCTTAACGAAAAATATAGCTACCGTAAGAAATTATGGAATTATTTGTGAATTATCGATTGTAAAACTGGAGAGGGCGAGGAAAGAACGGCCAATGGAGATATTTCAATTAAAGAAATTTATTCATTTACTTCATAAATAAATTTGAAAGTGAAGTTATTTTCTCTAGTCTAACTCACATAAAACTGCTTTTAATTTCTTTTTAAAGTTAGGCTATCCATCACTAGTAGTCGATAATGAATATTTGATGCAAGGATTAAATTCTTCTACAACGACCGCTTATTTCAACTTGATGGTCACATTAGCTAATAAGTTGGGAGCAAATGAAAGTTACTCAAAAGTTGAACTTCTGAAAGCTCTGAATTTCGAAAGTATGCTCGGAAATGTAAGTACAAAAAATTCTTTATGTTACATTTAACTCGTTATGTCTTACTAGAAAGCCCGGCGGTCATACGAAATGACCGCTGTTCTAGATATTATAAATTGTAATTAAAATGATTTGTGCAAAGGTGTCTGCTAATTCAAACTGAATACTTATTGATATCTCCCTAAACAGAGCTTCTCTTCAGAGATTCCATGATTTTAAACAAATCCGTTAGCTTCCAAGTTTCAATGAATATATTTGCCTGACTTATGAATGTTTTTGAGTTATTCGGTTAACTAAAGCAAAAAAGCTACATCTTATTTAAAGAGTTTAATACCAATACCCATTTATTTTGTGTTTATTAAGTAAAAATAATTCAATGAAGAAGATGTCTGAACGCGATACTTAATTTCATTTTGGCTTCAGGAGTGAGATGATTTATTAATTCATGCGAAAAGTAATCCATTAATATTACAAATCTAATTATTAGACATTTTTACTTTATTATTTCATTCTTCAAAATATTGTTATTTAATTTCTATTTACTGATTCTCTATCTCTGCGGTTTCTCCGAAACGTGATAAGAATGATTTCGTCTTCAAAATAGATGCATTTGTGATCTATTACAGCAATTCCAGTATTTCAATTTCTTGACAGTGTATATCTTCGTTAGAAATATTGTTCAAAACCTTCACCATAGCGAGATCTTACCAAATGTGGTAAAATGATGCCATTTGAAATGAAATGTTAGCTTGGAGAATAGAGAATAAAAAAATGACATGGAGCCAAGTTAGAGTTGTATGGTAAATGAGAAGGTTTCACGAGATCTTTTGAACAAAACATTTACTTGTAGTAAGTGGTATTTGCTTTGTACTACCATCAATGCATAAATGTTTCATATCCTTCTGAAGTCTTCTGCAGAAGATAAACATATGTCCATAAAGTACCTGCAACTACTACATAATTTCAGAGCTAGGATTTAGATTTGTTTCTCAAAATTTGATCTGGTAATATCCTTTGAGTTTTCTTTGCATTTTCAGGGGTAACAACTGATAAAAAATGCATCGCACTTTGTTAACACACACTGAGGAAGATTTTGCCATGTTCCTAGATTCTTGCTTCACCTATCTCAACCTATATTTTCTTTTCCTTGTCTCTGTTTCTGTGCTACACGAAAATTTATTCTCACTACATTTTAGAGTAGACTAGAGGCTGTTTCTACACTTTTTAGACGATTTTCATTGTATTTACAGAAATATTTTACCTTACAATTTTCTGTTTGAAATGTTTCATTTGATAACCCTTACTTTTCACCATCTTTCTGCACCATAATTTTCAAGACATTAAAGCTTTTTTCAGTAGCGTAAGAGGTATTTTATCCCATTCCTCTTGAACAGCTTTAAAAAGTACAAGGAAGATTGTAGGTCGACTTTTAGACAATTCGCTCTTTAAAAATCCAAAAACGCAAAATTATCCCTATTAAATATCCCTACTAAATGATATATCAGGATATTTAGTAGAGTTAGTAGGGATATGAGTGAAGAGTATGACTTTGACATACGTTTCTTGTTCCATTTTTTTCCCGGAAATTAACAGGGAATTTTGACTTGTCTTGATGCAGTTCTGCTGATTGATGGCACTATGGAAGCAGAGAATGTATTTCATTTTTGAAAATTGGGTATAACATATGTTACTGATAATATGTGGAGTTGAGTTTAACAGTTTTCTGCACATTTTCTAATTTTTATTTTCGTTATATCAAAAACAAACAAAAATCATTAATCCCTTTGAAAACTTTCTTTAGATTTTTTTAACCATGCTCTAAGTTTTTTTCTTCTCTTTGATGATAATATATGGATCTCTTTTATTACGAACATTCATCTACTGTGACAACAACTACTGATCCAAGATTCATCTACTGTGACAACATTTTTCCATTTTTGTCTGAATAATTGCTTCTCATAGAGATTTCGACAGCGCTTCGTTCGTCGATATGTATTGGAGAAAGACAACGTACATTACATTTTTTCGCCTTTTTAAGATTCAAATCTGCATTAATAACTTTGTCAACAGTTGACACTGAGCATTTTAATGATCGCAACTGTCATTTTAATTTGAAGATTTTCTTTTAACATTAAAATTCTTACCTTTGAGACATTCGAAACATTCCGTTTTCTCCTTGGATATGTATTTTGAACAATTTTTCTCCTTGATGCGAAACTTTGCCGTTTTTTCCTGTTTTATTGGAAATATCATCTATCTTTGATTTAAATACTGAAAAATCATAGCTTTTACAGTATTTTTTGATAAGTAAATAAGAATAATTTTCTTCCAAAAGAGCGCAGACATAGCCTTCCGTCTATTGCCTCTTTAAAAGTGCCATTTTGCATAAAAAAAAAACTTGGTTAAATACTAGGCGATAATTTACTTTTTCAAAAATATAATTGCAGTTAAACAAGTTTTTTCCAAGTAGGCTAAGCCTTTTATGCCGAAACAAAGTCTTCTAAAAAATGTGCGTACAGCCTCTATATTAACTTTTTTGGAATGTCATTCCAGAATTCTCAGTCATTTCATGTACATACTTAATATATGCGCTATAAATTTTTAAACTTTTCAAATTTTCCATACAAAATCTGCTGACTCAAGCAGATAAGGACAGACGTGTTTAGGCCTTCCCGTCCTGCTCGAATATCAACACATGGACAATATTGTGGATCAAATTGTCACTTGTGATGAAAGGTGGATTTATTTCAACAATACATGCCGAAAAGAGGGGTGGTCTGCGGCCGATGAGCTCATCGGCAGCATCGTAAAGCTATTTTGTGACAGATTATAAGTTATTTCATGACAGGTGTAAATGAAAGTTTGAGTGAAACCTATTACCATTTTTACATTTGAACAGATATCGTGTCCATTTTTAAGACAGTAATCGAAATTTTTCATATTTAATTTACCGGTAATTTATTTCCTATGAGAAACTTTAGTAGCACTGCCAAATTCTCATTATCAGTTTGATATACTATTCTTCTGTAACTATTCTGGTTACATTCTTTCAAGTTGCCATTATGGCTTCTCAGCCTCGTTCATGTGAATCCGAGACCCTTAGTGTATGGGCGAAAGATAGCTTTTATCCATATACATAACGTAAGACATGATTCTGCCAGCTAGTATAAATAATAGTTTAAATTAAATAAAAACGAATAAGATTAAACTAACCTGGCAGACGCATTCCTAAGGATTAAATTTTACTCCTTTCAGAAAAGAAATATATGTTGTTTCGCTCAGTCGAAACAACGGGATCGAATCATAGTGAAGATACACCCTTCCTAAGTAGAACTACGGATAAATCCTTTCATAGTTCTTGTTTGTTCACAAATTTTATAGATTTAGAACTTTAATACTGAAAAATTCGTGAAGGTCAATGACTTTTCATAAATCGCAATTTATAATTTAAATTTCATCTTACCCATCATACTCCTTCCAAGTTTTGATTTTTACCTCAAGTTATGATTCATTACCCAAATTTTGTACCACCTTAACATATTTCCTTATGTAACGTTATATGTATTCGCAAATTCTCATTTTAATTTAAAAGTTTCATCTAGACACAGGATTTTTTTGATGTTCTACTCGCACTCATGTTGTATGAAACTCCATTTCATCCATTTCATCTTAAGCGTAGCAAGTATCTCAAAGACAACAACTGTCTCCTGGAGACTCCTGGCACCTCCTGGAGGCAACTGATGAGCCTCTTTCAGTTGACTCCAAGAGCACTTCACCAGTTCGGCTGCTGCCCTCTCTCTATTTCCACTTGGTGTATAAAGAACACAAACTGTTTCAGCATGGAAAATATTGTTTTTCATGGTATCATCCTTTTAGCTATACCGTCGATAGGTTAGAACTCTTTGCAGTTGCAAGCCTAAGCACCCGCCAAGGATTCACGATTTACGGTCGAAACATCGGAAGCGATTTCTAGTGAAATAAAGTATCCTAGATTTGAAATTTTCCTAATTTCACTTTTAGACATTTTCTTTTGCCTTCAGTTTTGAAATCAACTGATGATATCTTCATTTACTAAAATATTATACTGGCTTAAATTTATACCTTTAGCTGTAACTATATTTAAGTTTTAATCTTAATAAAAATTTTCAAAAGCTTTGCACTAAGTATACAATGTAATAAACAGGTGTACTAATGTCAAACATGATGATCGATATTTCCTACAATGATTATTTAGAAAATTGAATTATCAGAAATATTTTAAGATCTGTTTGTAAATGAGTTTATGTTTTATGTTTAAAAAAGTTTAAAAATATTTTTAATTGTTTCATAGTTTCTGAATGATAATGCGTTTAAACTGATAAAATGCTTTTCTAAAGTTAATAGAGACACATTACCAAAGAATTGGGAGTCGTACACCTGTCAAGTATACCGTTAAACAGCTAATTGAAGAGGTGCGAGAGGTAATAAAATAATTTTTATTATATTTCAAATTATTAAATACTTTCATAGAAACTGCATAGTACTAATACAATAGAATATGTAGCGCCTTCCTAAAAGTATTTCGTTTTACACAAGACAGTTTTCTGCTGCGTTTTAGCAGTATTATATCAGGAATCTGTATTTAACTGCCTAATGTGGTATACAAAAGCTCTGGTTTCTGCCATCTCGCCAACGAGTATCTGTAGAGGCATCTTATGACTTAGAGCTCGAGCTCAAAGCCTCCTATAACCAGCAAGAAATAACCTATAACCACCATGTGGTCGGAGAAAGGTAAAGAATGAAATGCCATGAATTTGAAAGGTGCGCAGGATACATATTTTCCAAGACAATCGTATATCAGCATATTAGACATCCTTTCAAGTTAGATTATTATATTACATTATAATTGTACTAGAAAGCCCAGCGGTCATAGTAAATGACCGCTGTTCTAGATATTATAAATTGATGATTATAAATTGATTATAAAACAGATTATTGCTAATGCAAACAAATGTTCACGTTCCCCCTGACAGGCTGAATTTGCGTTCAGCTGAAAATTCAGTTTAAAAAACAATGTCGGAATAAAATCGGGGTAAATACATAAGAGATTTAAGGTTCACCTTAAATCCTTTATGTAAGAATTTTCAAGATTTAAATTTTCGATTTGGGATTTCTTCCTTTTTACTAAAAGCTGGCGATACAAAAATGGCAAAGTAAAATGTCTGAGAAGCATAAAAAGACCTTTCGTCTGTGCAAATAATAAACAAGACTGAAATACTTATAACCTGAAAAAAATGATGGTTTGTAACACCGTAATATTGTGTTACTAATGGAATAGGTCATTCTAATTTGGATTACTTTCTTTCTTCATTACGTTTACAAAACGTTTAGCTGAAAACTCACAAAATTTCTCTTAGCTTAAAGTAATGCCCATGCATCATTTTCTTTCAAGAAAAGAAATTTCAAATTATTTTCTTTAGAAACATGAATTCTTTCATTCAATTCATTTCTGTTATGAATAAGCTCAAATACAGTCACCTAATTAATTTGGACACTTTCCAAAAAGCCATATAAAACCAACGAAATTACCTATCATCATTATCAACCATTTGCACCTACAGACTATTTCGCATCTTTTTTCTTTTTTTTAGTCCAAAGGGGCTTTTTCCCTGAAGGACTATAGTTTTCGTTTTGCGATTTTGCGTTGAATCACTATAAATGTCCGTTTCACTTTTCAAACTGTTGACACCCAATGTTAAAGTCCTGCATTATATTTGAAGAAATTAAATAATGAAACATTTGCATAAATGTATGTATATTTCTCGCATTGTGATAAAACAACGGTATATAGAGCCATCGAATTTTGAATGACGTAATCCTACTGCGAATATGGGCATGTGGAAGCCCAAATTTGAAATTTTGGAATTTGCTTTATTATCGATTTCATATTTTGTAAACCTTTAACTAATGTTTGAGTAACAAACTCAACGATTTGAAAGCGAGCAATGGCAACAATCTATGGGGGAGGATCTATGGAGTCGCAGTGAACAGACTTGATGTTGAATAAATGTGGAGGCTTGCCTGCACACATATCTCTAGTGCCGACTAAAAGTCATTCCGCGATCTAAACTCTTCCCGTTGCAAGCCATTCCGGAATCTTTCCTTTCTCGTTCTCTTACCTGCGTAAATTAAACTCGCCCAGCTAACAAAAACAGCCGTTCCGGGATTGACACGTCTAGTAATCCTGGGAGGGAAACAGGCTCATAAGATTAAGCAGAGAGGTAAACCTGTGTGCAGTTAAAGCAAAGTATAGCACTGATTCGCCTCGTCTAAGATAACGGTTATGTTTCTGAGTATGCTGTTCGAGAATGACGTTTCTACTGCGAAATCTTCCTTCACGCTCTCATCCAGTTGTTCCATTAACTCAGCTGAACACCTTTTCCGCGTGTGGATATTTTTCATCATATACGATACTTTCCATATACGGGAGGAGCATTCGAATAATTATGGATCAGCTTCCACTCTTCGCCCAGTGAAAACTACGTGACTACACATTGCGCACTTTCTGAAGAACTGTAGATTTTTTTTTCAGACAGTAATTTAGGTCATTTGACTGGAGTTGAAGCTACAGTTGCTAACATGATTGTTTCTTGTAGTATCTTGTCACAAATTTCTTCTTTTCCCATAAGGTTCGGTAAGGTTAAGATTACATTTGAAAATGAAATGGTTGTTCTACATCTTCTTGTGGGAAAATTTTAAGGTTGTCTTCTTCACTTCATTTGACCTAATCATGTATCACCAGTTATTAGCTTTGATTTAAAAAAAAAAGAAATGAAATGAAAATTGCAATGCCATCTTCTACGAAATAAAAGCAAAATAGTTACCCTCTATTCATTTTAACGATCTCAGCATATTAATACTCAGTTTAAATGCTCATAACAGACATTTACAAAAATTGATTTTTTAGTTATGTTTTAAACATACATTTGATTTTTCTGTGTTTTTAAATAAGATACCAAATATGTTTCAATTCTTCAATAGATTGACTGGTTGAAGCTTTTCAATGAATTACTGAATAATAGAACTTCTGAAAATGACACGTTTGATGTTATAAACATAGATTTTATCCGTGATTTTTCTGATTTTATCCGGAAAACAGATAAAAGGTAAGACGAAATTCGCCAGAGATTTATTCTATGCCCACGCATTCACGCACCTACATACACACACACACATATATATATATGTATATCTATATACACATATGCTCTGCGCACGCCCGGCTCCATTGCTGTCTGTGATTTGGTTAGCTCCTGAATTTATTGTTACATTTTAGTAATTATTTAATATATACATCAGGGTGTTTCATAGATCATGGGAGAAACTTGGAGGGGTGGTGAAGCGTACTAAAACATGCATTTTTTTTTATACGAATGTAGGGTCTAAAGTGACGGGTTTAAGGCAGGAACGCAAAAAAACGACACGAGAGGAAAATGTGTTTATGTACAAAACCAACGCAAAGTACTTCTTTGCTGCAATATAGTATTCACAATTAATGTTCAAAAAAGGGAAACACTAACAGTAATAGGAACTACAGCTGTGATTGGCTGGCAATGCAGCGGTAGAGTGCGGTAGTGAGTCGGACAAACCACGATCCGATGCATCAGAGGATCATTCGCAACTCTGATGTTGCGCGTGATGGGTGAGTTTACACACAGGAAAACGCTGACCATCTCATGTATGGTGCTGCTAATGGGAACGGCAGAGCAGCGCTACAGTTGTACCAGGAACGGTTTCCGAACAGACATATGCCGAACACACAATGTTTGAGAGGTTGCATCGGTCTCTGTGTGAAAACGGGTCATTTGAAGCCACCTCTGACACTAGGAGTGGAAGAAGAAGTGCACGACAACCTCGCATTGAATAATCCATCTTGAACATTGTGCATGAATATCCTCAGACAAGTACAAGAGCTATTGCACGTCGTCTACAGCTGAGTCATTCCACCGTTTGGAGAGTACTGCATGAAAATGGTTTGCACCCAAACCATTTGCAGAGAATCCAAGTCTTGCATGAGGCAGATTACCCTCTTCGAGTTCATTTCTGTCATTGTTTATTGCAGCAGTGTGCGGTGCAGGCGGATTTCCCATCGGATTTCCGGTCGGATGTGCTATCCACGGAGGAGGAAACTTTCTCATAGGACGGCATCTTCAATAGCCACAACATGCACGTGTGGGCAACTCATAATCCACACGGCACACGTCCATGTGCATTCCAAACCCACTTCTCCGTGAATGTGTGGGCCGGTATTGTTAACGACTACCTCATAGGCCCATACCTCTTTCCTGCACGTACAAATGGCTTATGTTATCATATTTTTCTGCAAGAGGTGCTACCGGAATTGCTGCAGGATGTTCCGGCTGTCGTTTGTGATCCCATGTGGTTCCAGCATGATGGTACACCAGCCAATAACCACGTGCGGGTCCGCAATTACTTGGATGGGACATTTCCGAGCCGATGGATTGGCCGTGATGGACCCGTTCAATGACCATCCCGTTCGCCAGATTTATACAGCTTGGATTTTTTTATGGGGCCATCTGAAGACCATCATTTACGAGACTCCCGTTGACTCACTGGAGGGCCTCGTTGCACGACTATCCATTGCGGCTGCAAGCGTGCGCGAAATGCCTGTCGTTTTTCAAAATAATAGTCAATCCCTTCTGCGACGTTACCAAGCATATATTACTGCTGGTGGTCTCAATTTTGAATATTTATTTCTGAATACTGTATTTCTACAAAGAAGCATTTAGTACGCTCCACCATCCAAATTTGACCCAAGATCTATGAAACACCCTGTATATGAATTTGTACTTTCTTTTAAATTAAAACGTGATTTCAAGCTGTTTGAGAATGTACAGCGATCATTTGGAGAGTTACAGGCAGCTTCATCTGGAAGGTACTTAAGCCTAACCGGATCGAATTGTTTACATATTTCTGCATCTGGATTTGAAGCTTTTCTGGATTAAAAGCCATGCAAGTTGGCCTACCTTTAAGCTATTCGAGCGAATAGTTACTTTATACACTGTTTTTTCAGTGTTCGAGCACAGCAACTTCAAAGAATCCCATTTTTTTAACCCGTGAAAACATAATTATTTCTGTTCCGGAAGTGTTATAAGGAGTTTTCTTATTTTGAGGTAACTAGGAATTTCTCGTCTTCATACTGAATTGTTGTGGAACCTACAGTGTGTATTTAGTGATACGAGCATAATACTGTATAAAGAAAGTAACCAATTTTATTCAAATATTATATCCTAATTTATTGAAACTGACTGAGATATCCGCAGCCGCCTAACGCTTGACTTTTTGCTCTATTTTCCCTATATTTATTAATAAAATGTATAAATGTTTAAATGAAGTATAAAAATTTGAATATATATAAGTATTTTGAAAGAGAACATTTTAAAGGAGATTTTTGTAATCA